GGGTGTGCAAGCACGGGCAATTATTCCCCATCTGCCGAATGTGTTGTTGAATCTATATGAGACTTTGGGAGGACAAAGAAAGCCCCAGAAAGATGATGAAAATTGAAGAAAAGTTTAGCTGTTTTTGTTTGTTGTTTGTTTCATCTTGTTTTGTTTAAGACTCAGTGTTTCAGTTTAAAGTTTGGTGTTCAAGGAGATCATGTTGATCATGGTTGTGTTTAAAGTCATTGATTTTGTCGTTTTATTTAAAGTTTTTGGAAATCAATGAAAGGGTTTGGTTTTGCTTGTCTAAATTAATGTTGTTGAGTTATCTAAATTTTTGAACTACGTAATGATTTGAGTCATGCGGCGACATGATACATAGGTAACCTTCAAAGGGTTCGATCAAAACTTTTTTTTAAAAGAAAAGAAAAGAAGAGAAAAAAGGGGGAGACAATAAGCAAAGTAAAGCTGGGATAAAACAATGGCCTTCTGAACTCATGTTACTATGTGATTAACAAATGTGTGATTGATGTGTAAAATTGTCTAACCCCTAACAAGTTTGTTCATTTCTCTTTAGTTTAGTAAGCTTTTGGTGGTTGATTTGTGGTAAACTGACAGAACATCCGTACTTTACCAGGTCTAAGGTAAGAGCGTTAATGACAACCAATACTGAAACTGTGGTGAACCCGCTGGATACTCCAGTTGATTCAACGACAATAGAGTCAGCTATTGTTAAAGAAAATCGTACATTGAGACATGTTATGGCATAGTTGTGGAAATCCTGGGCCAATGGCCAAGAACCATCAACGTCAATTCCTGGTTTTCCTGAGATCACTAATATTGGATCTTCATCTTCTCAGGTCCCGATATCAGATCCTTTCTTCCCTCCAGGGTATGGTCCATTTGATAATTGTGGGGCTGGACCAACAACAACACGCCCTCAAGGCATGCCATTCAGGAATAATCCCATTGTCATGACAGCTGCACTCGTTTATACTTTCCCACAACAACCTGTTACGCAGAAAGCAACTCAAGAGGGGCAGTTCACCACCCATCTAGAGCATTACTATACTCTTGGGATAGCATTCGGGGCCCCTAATTCTGTACAATTTGGCTCCCCCATGGATGTTGAGAGGCCCACTCAAGACTCAGAGCAAGAGGAAATGTTGAAAAACATGAAAAGCATCGAGCAACACATGAAAAGTATGCAAGGGCTAGGAGGGCACAAAAGTATCGCATTCAAAGACTTGTGTATGTTCCTAAATGTCCACCTGCCACCTTGATTCAAAACCCCAAAGTTTGATAAGTATGACGAGCACGGTGATCCCATAGCTCACCTCACGAGACACAACAATCAACTTAGGGGTGCAGGGGTAAAGATGAACTACTCATGGCTTATTTTGGTGAAAGCCTGACTGGTGTTGCCTCTGAATGGTTTATAGACCAAGAAATCTCCCACTAGCACATCTGGGATGATATGGCTCAAGATTTTGTTAGACAATTTCAGTACAATATCGACATTATGCCAGATCGTAATACACTCTCTAATATGAGAAAGAAGCCAAATGAAAGCTTCAGAGAGTATGCTATCAAATGGAAGGAACAAGCAGCCCGGGTCAAGCCACCATTAGATGAGCAGAAATTGGTTGATATCTTCATAGAGGCTCAAGATCCTGACTACTTCCACTACCTAACTGCCGCAATGGGAAGATCGTTTCACATAACAATCAAAATTGGAAAAATGGTTGAAAGTGGTCTCAAAACAGGAAGGATCGTGAGCCAGGCGGCAATCAAAGCTACAACACAAGCCATTCAAGGTGGTTCAGGCAGTTTTGGAAATCGTAAAAGAAAAGAGGAAGTTTCTTCGCTAGCATCAAGGTCAAGGGGTGTTCAAAGGAATTCTAATTGTCCTTACCCATTAGATTAGGGACAATCTAGCTATCCTCAACATTACTACCTTTATGTTCCCAATATTCAGGGTCTCCATCTCCATACACAGTCTTCAATGCTCAGCAATATGTGCATCCTCCCAATCGTCAACAATTTTGGGCCCCAACTCAAGGAAACCTTCGGCCACCACGACCACCCTATCAAGTCCCTTACATCCCTCCTCCTAGGAAAAATTATGCTCAAGATCAGGGACAAAAAAGGAAATTCACTCCATTGGGAGAGTCATACTCCAACTTGTTTCAAAAGTTAAGAAAGATAAGAGTGATTGAGTCTATCCCACCACATCGTCTAAATCCAACTACTCTAGGTTTCCAGGCCAATGAAATATGTGAGTATCATTCAGGGGCACCAAGACACATCACTGATAATTGTTGCACCTTGAAGGGGGTGATAGAGAAACTAATCGATCATGGGGTGGTTGTTGTGACGGATGATCAAAACACTCCCAATGTAACTAATAACCCACTTCCAGCTCAAAACAATTTAGTGGGTATGATCTGCGATGATCAGGAGTACAAACTCCTTGGAAAAATGGGAAAGTTGTTTAGTAAGATCGGAGAGGAAGACATGTCGTTAAAGAGTTCAGAACCAGTCGCATCTTTGAGTATGGAAGGTGTCAATCTTGATACCAAGTTTTGTGTGTCCCGGGGGTTTCAAAGAGGATTGAAGTTCGAGCCGGTATGCCGAAGTTGTTTGTATCAAAAGGCCTTTCATTAACACAACAAGACCAAAGTTGCTTGGCAAAGTTGAAAGAACCTATCTTTGTTAAGCCCGTCCAGCACCTCCCGGTAACTAATTCAAAGACTGTTCCTTGGAACTATAACAAAATCATTGTGGTTTACCGAGGAAAGTAGATTGTTGAAGAAGTTGATGAAGTAGGAGGGCTGACACGCTCCGAAAGATGTTATTCTCCAGAAGAGTTAAGAAAAGGGAAGATGGCTCAAAATATCCAAGTAGCACTAAAGAAAGCTGTTACTGAGGAAGAAGTAGAAGAGTTTCTAAAAAAGATTAAGGTTCCAGATTACTCTGTTGTGGAACAATTAAAGAAAACCCCTGCACAAATTTCACTATTGTCTCTACTCTTGCACTCAGAATAACATCGTCGTGTTTTGAATAATATTTTGAATGAAGCACATGTATCGAAGGAGACCACGGTAAATCAGTTAGATAAAATTTCCAAGCGCATCTTTGAGTCGAACACCATCACCTTCACTGATGATAAGTTACCCACGGAGGGAGCTGGACACAACAGAGCTTTGCTTTTTACAGTGAAATGTGAAGGGTACTATGTAAAAAGGGTCATGATAGATGGAGGATCAGGGGTAGACATATGTCCTCTCTCTACGCTGCAAAGCTTGAAAATTAACCCTGACAGAATTTGCCCCAACAATGTATTTATTCGAGCTTATGACGGCTCAAGGCGGGATACCATTGGCGAAATCAAGTTAAACATGACAATTGGACCGGTGGACTTTATGATTGTGTTCCAAGTAATGGACATGGACACATCTTATAATTTTCTATTGGGAAGGCCATGGATCCACATGGCTCGGGCAGTCCCATCAACTCTGCATCAAGTTGTTAATTTTGAATACTACCATCAGGAGATCATTGTGCATGGGGAAAATGATTTACCTATTTACAGAGATCCATCCATTCCATACATTGAGGCAAAAGAAGGATGTGATTCCGTTGTTTACCAGTCTTTTGAGGTCATATCTGTCGATCACTTTAAAGAAAGAGACCCCATAATCCAACCATGTCTCTCTTCTTCCTCTTCTATGGTAGCAACGACCATTCTCAAATATGATTATCAACCAGGTAAAGGTTTGGGACTATGTTCGCAAGGAATCATGGACCCTATTACTCTTTTAGGAAATCGAGGCACCTCTAGCCTCGGATACAAAAAAAGCAAGAGAAATGGAGATAAGGCTAAGAACCACAAAAGGACTGATTGGGCGTTGCCACAACCGATTCCCCATATTTTTCATTCCTTTATCAAGCCTCAGGATCCAGAAATGGAAGCTTCCTTTACTCATGAAGATATTGAAGAAATTATTTAGGATCTCAGTCAGTTGTTTGTGAAGAAAACATGGTCCAAGTTGGTGAAGGTTCAAGTCATGCTGATGTGCAGCTCGTGGGCTCAGGCTTTGAGCTAAACAATTAGGAAGCCACTCCTTTCTCGATAAGAAAGGAGTCTTGGTAGTTTGTTTTGCTACTCTTTTGTATTTTGTTGTTGTCAGGGTTGTGATCCGAATATTTGAAAATGTTTCGTATTAGTGTTAACCCTTCTATCCTTTTTTTCAACTTCAATGAAATGAAATTTCAATTTCATAGTAAATCTTTGTCTTTTCCCCTCCCCTAATTCTTATTCTCCATTTTCCAGTTCTGTATATGCCAGCTTTGATAACATGACATGCATGCGAAATTCACTCCCAGATCTCAAAGAGTTGTTTATTCTTGAATCATCGAGTCAAGAGGTTGAATATGATGAAGAAGAGGCTTTTAGGGAAATTAATAGGGAATTGGAATAGTTTGAGCGCAAACCTAAGCCTAATCTTAGGGAAACCGAGGCAATCAATTTGGGAAGTAATGAAGAAGTCAAAGAAATAAAAATAAGTCTTCATGTCAAGAAGGAAATTAGAGATGCCATAATACAACTTTTGTTTGAATACAAAGATGTGTTTGCTTGGTCTTATGATGACATGCTAGGTTTGAGTGTTGATTTAGTGGTCCATAAGTTACCCACTCATTCTGTTGTTCCACTCGTCCAACAGAAAAGAAGAAAATTCAAACCGGACGTGAGTGAAAAAATCAAGGAAGAAATCATGAAACAACTAAATTCAAATGTAATCCAAACCATTCGTTACACTACTTGGTTGGCAAATGTTGTTCCTGTGTCGGAAAATGATGGAAAGACAAGAGTTTGTGTTGACTATCGGGATTTGAGCAAAGCTAGTTCAAAAGGCAACTTTCCCTTGCCCAATATCTATATTCTAGTTGATAATTGTGCCAAACACGAAATTTAATCTTTTGTGGATTGTTATGCTGGGTATCATCAAATCTTGATGGATGAAGAGGACGCTGAGAAAACTGCTTTCACCACTCCATGGGGGACTTATTGCTACAGGGTCATGCCATTTGGTCTTAAAAATGCTGGGGCAACTTACATGAGGGCTATGACCACCATGTTTCATGATATGATGCAAAAGAAATTGAAGTATATGTCGATGACGTAATCATCAAGTCTAAAACACAAGCTGACCATGTGCAAGATTTGAGAAAATTCTTTGAAAGAGTGCGGAGATATGATCTCAATCTTAATCCAACAAAATGTGCATTTGGAGTTCCATCTGGAAAACTTGTGGGTTTTATTGTTAGTAGAAGGGGAATCAAATTGGATCCTTCCAAAATAAAAGTCATTTGAGATTTGTCAACCCCGAAAAATAAGACCGAAGTCATGAGTCTACTTGGGAGGTTGAACTACATCAGCATGTTTATTGCTCAACTCACAACCACTTGTGAGCCCATTTTCAGACTTTTGAAAAAGGATGTTGCTATCAGATATTGTTAACAAGCTTTTGGAAAAATCAAGGAGTATTTGTCCAACCCTCCCGTATTGGTCCCGCTTGAACCTGATAGGCCTCTCTTTCTATATCTTTCAGTGACATAATTAATTTGGGTGTGTTCTCGGTCAACTCGATTCCATAGGCAGGAAGGAGCAAGCTATCTGCTACTTGAGCAAAAAATTCACTAGTTATGAGGTCAAGTACACCCTCTTGGAAAGGACATGTTGCGCCCTAACTTGGGTAGCTCAAAAGTTAAGGCATTACCTTTTGTCCTACACAACTTACCTCATATCTAGGATGGATCCTTTGAAGTACATCTTTCAGAAGCCTTTGCCAACTGGCAGACTCGCAAAATGGCAAATCTTTCTCACTGAATTTGACATTATATATGCCACTCGAACTACAATAAAAGATCAAGCTTTGGCAGACCACTTGGCAGAGAATCCAGTCGATGGCGACTACAAAACATTGGATACTTATTTTCTAGATGAAGAGATTAACTTAGTTGAAGAAGTGGATTCAGATGAAAATCAGGCTTGACAATTATACTTTGATGGAACAATCAACAAAAAAGGCACAGGGATTGGGGCAGTTCTCATATCGCCCATAGGGCAGCATTACCTTGCAACGGCCCGACTTCGTTTCCTCTGTACAAATAACACAACAGAGTATGAAGCTTGCATCATGGGTCTAAATATGGCAATAGATTTGGGTGTGCAAGAATTGATTGTGTTGGGAGATTTTGATTTGCTTATTCGGCAAGCGCAAGGCAAATGGAAAACTCGAGACCTCAAGCTTATTCTATAAAAACAATGTGTGGAAGATCTTAGCAAAAGGTTTAGGTCCATCGAGTTTAGATGCATCCCTAGATTTCATAATGAATTGGCAGATGCCTTGGCTACTTTGGCCGCAATGCTTCCATATCCTGGAAACACTTGCATTACTCCCTTGGAGATTCAACTTCGAGACCAACATGGCTATTGTAACACTGTGGAAGCAGAATCAAATGGTGAGCCGTGGTACTTAGACATCAAGAATTTCTTGCAAACAGGGAAATGTCCCAAACATGCCAATGGAAGCCAAAAAAAGACTATTAGACGCCTAGCTAGTGGTTTTTTTTAGCGGGGAAGTTTTATATAAACGAACCCTGAATTTGAACTTATTGAGATGTGTGGATGTTGAAGAAGCCGAGAAGATCATGAATGAAGTACATGTTGGGGTATGTGGACCACACATGAATGGATATGTCCTTGCGAAAAAGATACTCCGAGCAGGATATTACTGGCCTACCATGGAACGAGATTGCTTTCGCTTTGTGAAAAAATGTCATCAGTGTCAAATTCATGGTGATCATTCATTCACCTCCTTCAGAGTTACATCCCATGGCCGCTCCTTAGCCCTTTGTTGCATGGGGAATGAATGTCATCGGACCAATTGAGCCAAAAGCTTCTAATGGACATCGATTCATTTTGGTCGCAATTGATTACTTTACCAAATGGGTGGAGACGATCACTTTTAAAGCAGTCACTAAGAAGGAGGTCATGGATTTTGTCCATTCAAACATCATTTGTTGATTTGGTATCCCAAGAGCTATCATAATAGATAATGCTACAGTCCTTAATAGCAATTTGATGAAAGAAGTATGTGAGCAGTTCAAAATTGTGCATCACAATTCTACTCCATACCGACCAAAAGTCAATGGAGCTGTGGAGGCTGCCAACAAGAATATCAAAAAGATTCTCAGGATGATGGTTCAAAACACCAGACAAAGGCATAAGAAGCTACCTTTTGCACTTTTGGGATACCACACAATAGTGCGCTCCTCGATTGGCGCAACTTCTTATTTGCTGGTGTATGGGACTGAGGCTATGATACCAGCAGAAATCGAAATTCCATCTCTTAGAATTATTGTCGAGGTTGAAATTGAAGGTACTGAATGGGTCAAAACCTGACTAGAGCAGCTCACATTAATAGATGAGAAACGATTGACAGACGTTTATTTTGGTCAAGTGTATCAGCAAATGATGGCTTGTGCATACAACAAAAAGATGCACCCAAGACACATTGAAGTAGGTCAACTAGTCTTAAAGCTCATTCTCCCGCACCAAGAAGAAACCAAGGGAAAGTTCACCCCAAATTGGCAAGGTCCATATCTTATCAAGGAAGTGTTGTCCAAAGGAGCCTTGCACCTTACGGACGTGGAGGGAAAAAATCGCAAGCATGATTGTTAATGCGGACGCAGTCAAAAGATACTACATCTAATGTGTTCTAAGATACTATGGCAAGTTTATAGTTGAGAGAACAACGACATCTCTTTAAAAAAACAGAAAAATAAACCAAAAATCCTCTCTTTGAAAATTTGAACTACGTTTGACCTGATTCCAAAATGATACGTAGGCAACCCTTTAGGGTTCGGCCATACAAAAAAAAATCAATATTCCAGTATTTATAGAAAACTGGGCATTTATTTTTATAGAATAGTGTCAAATTGTAATTTCATTTATGATTTTATTCTAGCAACCGACATTTTGATCAACTCTAAGAATGATAGATTTAACGTGTCTTGCACGGACAATTGATCATACAACATTGTTGAAAAAAAAGAAAAAACTTTTGAGTGAAATACCTTGTGAGCACCATAAGTAAAAAAAATAAAAATGAGAGAGTCTCATCGGTGAAAACCTTTATAGGCACCATAAGACGACAAGAGAGAAAATCTTATCGGTGAAAACTCTTACGGGCACCTTAAGATAAAAGAAGAAAACATCATGAAAATTACTAATGGGAAGAAATTTGCAAAGATCACCATTTCTCGATACCTCTGCATGAAGAATACATAGATCAGTTATAAATTGATAATGGTTCAGATTTTGAGAATTAGACAACTCAAACGGATCCGGGGTCAAATTCAAAGTGCATGTCATGGTTCACTCAAAGTCGACATATGCCTCCAAATAAGTTCTCTTTCTCATTTTTCTTCAAAAAGGAATGCCCTTCCTTAAGTTTATAGTCTTTCTTGATCCAATTTTTCACTCTTAAGTCTGATATTTTTCTAGTCTTTTCGGTATAATCTCTTGACAAAATAAGGTAAAAGATTGCAAAGCTTACTATGGGTTTCCAAAAGTAAAGTTGAGTATCCGAGTTGACATGCCATCGAACAAGGACTAAAAACGCCCTAGATCTTCACTGAAAACTCGTGAAGGAACACGATATAGTCTCTCAAGTCATGAAAAAAAATTCAAAAGGAAAATTCATTCTTTGGGACATCAATCGCACCATGATATTTGATAGTACCAAAAAGATCAAGGCCCCTGAATTGACAAAGAGGAAGCTTCAAAGGTTGTTCAACCAAGGATTTTGAGTACAATTGGAGAAATTGGTCAGGAGTATGGTCAAGTCATCGGAGCATCAAGGCTACAAACCAACCACCACTTTAAACTAAGAATTTTCTCTTTCTTTTTCTCAACACAGGAACAAAAGAAAATGCGGGATTACAAGTCAAAAATGAAATATCACAAAAAAGAAGTTCTCCAAAGTCTTCACATGTTTGTTGTTTCATCTCATGCTATTCACATTCTCGTCTCTCAATTCGAGAGCTTCGGGCAATACGCACCAATCTAAATTCCGTGCAATATGCACACGTCCTTTATTCATGTGCAATACGCACCAATCTAAATTCTGTGCAAATACGCACCAATCATTTATTCACGTGCAAAACGTACCAGTCTTTCTTTCATGAGCAAGACGTACCAATCAAAATCCCATGCAATACGCATCAATATTGCATTCATGTGCAATACACACTAGTCTTCTTTCATATGCAATGCGCACCAGTCCTTATGCACATGCAATACGCATCAATTCTCTATTCATGGGCAATACGCACCATATGCATATCCTGGGCAATACGCACCAACATTCATGGGTTATACGCACCATATTCACATTTTTGGGGATACACCCAATCTTAGGACAATCCACAAAGCAATACGTCTTATTTGAAACTCTCAGGGTAACACGCCCCACTTCTCCTTTTCTTTCTAGGGTTATACATCCTAATTCAAGATTCTCATTTTTTCTTCCCTAAAAGAAACACATCCTTTTTGTGTTCTTCATTTTGTGATCTTGAGTTTTGAGTATTAACCGCCAACTCAAGTTAAAACATGCACCTGAGAATGATCCACAAGCCGCCAAGAGAGCATGAAGATCAATCTCAGAGATAACGCACAAGCCAAGTCGAAGATCAAGACGAGACCCTAAGAAAAAACATCAAGTAGGGATCTTGTAACACTTATAATGTAGAGAGGCCTAGTTCTCTAGCTCTTTCTTTGTAATCATAGACAATAGATGATGACAAGCAATATGAAACAATCTTTTGACCACAATTTCTGATAGTTTCGGCTATCAAAGTTTCTCGAACTACACTGACCTAATTTCCTTTTAATCAAGGGTATGTAGGCAACCTCTGAACCAAGGTTCGGTCATCTTTTTCAAAATGGCTTCAATGGAGTTTGAAACAATAAAAAATTAGTCACTTCATTCACTTTCTTCGTTTGAGAACTCTTCATGTTTTCAAGCAAAGAAGGGCATGCTGTGAACACCTAATTTTTGACGTGTTTATTTTACTCCTACAATATATATAGTAAGGTCTTTTCTTATATTTTTGTTTTGTATTTTAGGTTATTTGTCTTTGGTTGTATTATTTTTTTAATTGGTCCAAATGACCCAATTTTGATTGAATTTCGCTGATTTTAACCAAATTCTGATGGCCCAATCAATTTTGACTCGGTCCAATAGAAATGGTCAAGATTGAATCCTAACCATTCATGATATTTTGATCCAATGGCTCTTATGGGACCCTACCAAAAAATACAAAACTCCAAAAATTAAAATTTTTTATTTGGATTTTATTTTCTTCTTCCCTTTGCTTCCCCCTGCCGTCGATCGACTACCGCCGCCACTGTTGCCACCGGCCACCACCCTTTGGCTGGAAAAATCTCCGAAAATTTATCATTTCTTCCTTTCACCCTCCTCTACACAAATCAACAAATCATTCATCCTTATCCATAGCCAAACTCCGTAGATATATGAAAAACCAAATATAAATTTTCACTTTTTCTTTAGATTTACGAAGTTTCGGTCATCCCCATCCTATACCCTTTACATAAATGTGTAGATCTCTTCAAGGGCTATCCTTTGATAGAAATTTTATGTCCAAAATCAGTCAAAATAAATTCGGCAAAGTTCTTCGGCAACCCCCATTCACCCGAAAATTTATGTCAATTTTTTTCCCCTCTCATCCTTTATCTAAATCCGTCATTATCACATTTTTTAAAACCATATAAGTCGTTTTGGTGCCGGATTTGTATTGTTTTCTTAGTGTTCTTCAGGTGTTTTATCATGTTGAAGTTGTTGCTTGAGTTTTGTTTTTTTTGAATTTCGTTTTTATTTTTTATTTTTATTTTCTGTCTTATTTGTTGTGTTTGATCTTCAAAAGTTTAGATGTTTAGCTTTTGTGTTAGTGGGATGATTTTCTTTTG